GGGGGCTGTTCGCGATTGGATGATTCTACATTCAGCCTTTTTTTATCACATGCAAATTGTTTGTTATTCATGGCACTTTTTTAGGTTTTCATTAATCAATGGGATAAACCCATGCAAATAAATAAAAACATGTATAAATCAAGAACATGTGAACTTTTAATACATATATCTCTTGAATAAATTACGTTCTATTTATAATAATGTTTTTCTTGGGTTACACATTTATAGAGAGAGAGAGATTATAATTTCCCAAAACTCTCCGTTTTCCCAATACGGCATAAAAGTTGTCATATCTGTTAACTTAAAGCATTCCAAGCTGTGAATTTTATGGAAGACCCACTGCCAAAGCGAACTTAAATTATGCAATAAAGATTTATACTTTGAGCGAGATGGAGATAGCAGTAGAGACAGAGGCAACGACAGCCGAGTCTCGACACCTTGGCCAAAACGGATTGACTTATTGTACTCGGGGGACCCAACTAACGGACGGACAAACGGACGGACATACGGACAAGGCGCCGGAAATGTTTGCAGCAAGTGACTGAAGTGAAGAGGCGAAGAGCCACCTATAAGGAGTATGAGTTAGGGGATTGTGGGGGCAAAGGGGGAGTGGAGTGGAGAGGAGACTCTTGATGACAAGTACAACGACAGACGACGGAAGACACGGACAGTTTAACTTATGGGGCGGGAACGGTCGGTCGGGGCGTGTGGCAAATCCAATAAACACAAAACGAAATTGCAATGACAACAAAGTTGCTAAATTATAGGAAAGGCGGGTGGCAATGCAACAATTCTGGGTAAATCTATTTATGTGAGGAAAATGCCAGTCACGTGACTTAGTTTAGCATTAAAACTTTTCTCGTGCAGCTCAACTTGCAACTTTGGTTTACCTCAAGCTGCGTGATAAATTCTCTACAAAAAGATTTTGAAAAGTTACAAATAAAACAGGAAGCACAACAATGTTTTAAGTTCACAACCTAATAATAGTTAATAGATCAATTATTGTAATGAGCGTTAATTCAAAAACATTCACCTAACCTTATTAGTTGACCGAAGGCTTACGAACTCATATCTTTTAAGAGCTTTTCCAACAAGACTTAGTGATTCGGGAAAATCCACTGTAATCCAATTAATCTTATAGAATTTACTGCAGTTCAGCGCCTGCATTTTGCCAAATACACACGCCAAAGTAAAACCATTTGGCGTTGTTCTACACTCTTTATTTTGTTATTTCTTATGCCCCTTCTTCCTCTGGTTTGTCTCGTTCGAGGAGAAAGGCAAAGGCAAAGTCAAATAAATATGCACAGCAGACAGCAGCGAAGTCGGTTGTGTTGAAAAGCGCAATAAACGCATTTCTCAGCCTGACTGCACTTTTTGTTTTGTTTCGTTTTGCAAACAAAAAGTGATGAGACCAACAACAAACACAAAATCAATAGTTGCAAGGAGCCGAAAATAACTGAGAACATTTTTCCCAGCAATAGATACCGCGAATGCATGCAAAAGTTCAACTAAAAATGGGATTTGATGAAATATTTATATGGAAGAATATTGCATAAGATACTGGGGAGTGATTTAGGTAATCATTTGGAACGTTTACTTGGGTAAAATCAGCTTTGCATAACTAAAGTTATTCCAAGACACACTTGTTTGGCTAAAATCTATCTAGCCACGCCCAGTTTCTCGTACATTTCTATAGATATGTACAGAGAACTCTCCTCCTTTTTCCCCTTCCATGGGTGCCCGTGTGTTTGGCTTTATTTTTATTAGTTTATTTTCGTTTGGCTTTCCGTATGACACGCGAAAGGTCTTTGCACTTGACAACAACACCGAAAGGTGGAAGCTAAAATTTAAACCGAAAGAGAAGCAACAAAGTGTTCTCGCAACTCCAACCTTCTCAACAATTTCGCCTTGATTTCGTTAAACAATTTAATCTTGATGTTTGACTCAAAACGTTTCGCACATCTTTGGGGTACTCATTTTTTTTTTTTTTTTTTTTTCACAACGACTCACACTTCGAGCGGCAACGATTATTTATTTTCGGTGTGTGTTACACACAAAAATTCAAAGTCAACAACTTTTCGTGCTCAAAATTAAATGTTGTTAATGTTTTTATACCCTGGTTAAAAGAGGGTATTATTATTTCAAGGATATGTTGTCTTATTTTTTAATCAAGTAGGATTTTTAAAATTTTTTTTTTTATAAAAAGTAAACAACTAAAAAAATATTTATAAATGCAAAGGGCATACAAATAATAATGTTATGGTTCACATATGTACATTTTTGTTTGTATTTCTTTATAGAATGGTGTTATTATGTCATTTTATTTTGGATAAATTATTCGCTTTATTGCAAGTTTAAGATGTGTAGCCTAGCTTTTGCTAAATTAAATTAAAGTTATTTTGGATTTTGTGAATGAAGCGAACCATCAAGGCCAACGATAATTGTTCTATTAAAATAAAAATACGAAAACTAAGATATAATTTTTAATTGAATGAATAACTGGTTTCAGGTTGTTGTGTTTGTGTGTGTTTAAGGGGTCTTTGTTGTTATTAGATTATTCATTTTACTTTGGACAACATTAATTTTGTTGGAGAACTGGTTCATTAACTGTGGGTCTCATAAACAATTAGTTAAATAAGCTCGAAAAAATATTATGTCTATAAACAATATTTTGCAGCCAGACTTAAAAATGTCAGTTTACAAAAAATGATATTTCAACTTATCCAGAAAAAAATTGATGACAAGTAATGTGCAATTTTTTATTTGAAAAGATTCCGGGATCATAAACCTGTCAAGCGACTTTCAATCAATCCAGTAAATTTCATTGACATAACGTATTCGCCCATCACCACCAACTTTTTTACTGAAAAAAGAAGGAAAACAAAAAAACAAATTTGAATACAACCTGAGACGGGCCAAATAAAAAAGAATCACTCAGAATGTAATTTTGGATTTTTTGTAGACAGTTCCTGACTGGTTTTTGCTATTTATGCTATGTTTTGTTGTTTCTCTCTCTCTTTTGAACGAGCCTATAGCCAAATACCCGACACCTCCTTCTCCCCTTTGCCACGTTTTCTCTCTCTTTTTTCGCCTCATCTAGTATTTTTCTTTTGTATGCCTATTTGCCATTCTAAGATTTTCTTGCTATTTTTGTTGTTTCTCTGGCTATTTCTTCTTCTCGCTATCGTTGTCTATGCTTTACGAGTATTTTCGTTGGCTTCTCTCTCGCTCTCACGCATGTTTTTCAACAAAGAGGAGGCCGGTTTTTGTTTTCTGTCTCTCCCTTTTTTATTCTGGCTCACGCGCTCCCTTTTTCGCTCAGCTGTATGCGTGATGTATCTGTGTGAGCATCGTGCATGTGTTTGTTGTATCTGCGTTTTTGTTGTTTGTATCTTCACAGTCAAGGACAAGTTAATGAACGATTTTCTCTTTTGTGCGGACTTTCCTATTTGTGGGGGGAGGTGGGTGGTGGTGAACTTGTTTTGGTCTTCATTCGACTTAATTAACTACACAAAACAAGCTAGCTTTATGTCATTCAAAAATGTTTAAGTCAACAAGATAGCACGCAATTTGTTTATAAAATAGAATGTAAATATTTGAAGCTGTGTACAATTTTATTTCAGTGCACCTTGTACTCAAATCCCATATTTTCTTACTTTTGTTATGTTCATTAACGAAACAATTTCAATTTTGTTGTTCACTTTTCCGGTTGGTGATTTTTTATTTTGCTCGGCGCCGCAACTTTTGGCACCTCTTTGCCGCCTTGTTTTTGCGCTTATTTATTAATTGCGGTTTAATTAATTTATTTGATTTATTTCTTCTTGCCTACCCGAAACGTTTTCATTCATTTTCTTTCACTTTGTGGACAGAGAGCGACTGTGACCCATATTAAATTAAAAACATTGCGTCAGCAGTTCGGTGAATTTTTCTTTCTTGTATTGTTTTCCATTTTTTATTGTATCACAGCTTTGGTAATCTTTTTGTATCTTTTGTGTTGCCGGGCCACCGATCCAAATTCGCACTTTTCTGCCTTAAGCTTCTTTTCTTTTGCACTGTCAAGTTTTTCTTTGTCTCGCTCTTTATTTTTTACGCTCTCCCCGTCTTTGCCTCGTTTAAGGCAGTTTTGTTTGCTTTATTAAAAATTTGTAGTTTGGCTACGCTAAATATTTGTTAAGAGATTGCCGTGTTTGGTAATCTCCGAAGCCACGGCTCTTCTTGAAATCTTGCGGGTCTGTGAAATTGTTGTCTTAGGTCATAGACAATCTCAAATTTAACCAATATAAATCAAACATTTGTTTTTCAATATGTATAGAGAACATCTTACACAACTATTTTAATTTTGCTTTATAGCTAAAGAATGGCTCCGCGTTATTTTCGATTTTCTTGTTACCGACAAGTTTGGCTTGGGCTTGCGCCGTTATTAATGCAAAATTCGCAGCCAAGGCGAGGTTTTCATTTTCCAACCAACCTGCAACACCACCCCCTCTATATACAAACCACCCACCACCCCCTCTGTGCAACCCAGTTGATAAGCTCTTAAATATTTAAACTGTGTTTCAGGATGCCGGGAAGCTGGCAGATGTGTTTGGCGGTTGGTAGGGCTTTTTCTGTCGCATTATGACGCAAGGAATTGCCTTTGGGAGTGGTTAACACACACTCACACACACACTCATACAGACAGACACACAAAAAAGGAGGGCGGCAAAAGTTAATTAACAATTTGTTTGAAACGCTCCGTTGACATTTAATGTCACTGTATTGTTGTCAATGAGATGATGATGTGATTTCTGTGATATTTGCTTTCCTGGAAAACCATCAATTGCCAATGGGAATACACCGGAGGAGGCTTTTCACGCTCAAAATGGGGTTAATTGAAACACTAGTTGCAGTTTTAACAGAAAGTTATAGGGAATTCATAAAAAGATTTTATGGATATCTGAAAAGAAATCAATTGTCTTGTTCAAAGAGAAAACTAATTATTGAAAACCCATTCTTTTTAGATCACAACATCCACTGCCAAGAAATTGTGGGAAAAGTCCGATGGCAAAGGCGTGACTTCGAGCACTTCGGGAGGACCTCTGAATCCCCTGCAGATCCCTGGCATCGGGGATCCCTCTTCGGTGTGGAAGGATCACACCTGGTCCACACAGGGCGAGAACATCCTGGCCCCGCCCCCTTCGCGAGCCTACGCCCATGGAGGAGCCTCCGATACTTCGAACAGCGGCAATGCGGGCATTCTGAGGTGAGAAACTTGCCACTATAGCACATAATAAACATAATTAACAACAGCTCCAATAGCGCGTGAAATGTAGATAGGAAATTTGTTAAAATTCGATTGCGAAACCTATTTGTAATATTGTATTTCGGTTTTTCAGTCCCCGCGATTCGACTTGCGCCAAAGTAGTTGAATACGTTTTCAGTGGTTCGCCCACCAACAAGGAGAGCCCTCTTTCCGGATTAGAGCCGCGTTTGCGCAATCTGAAGTTTGACGACAACGATAAGGTAAGATCAGATTCCCTTTAGTATTCAGAAATAGTATGTTATAATGGTGTATTTTAAATTACAGTCACGCGATGACAAGGAAAAGGCCAATTCTCCGTTTGACACAAACGGATTGAAGAAGGACGATCAGGTCACAAACACAAATGGTGTTGTCAACGGCATTGACGATGACAAGGGCTTCAAGTGAGTAGTACTACGTAGTAGACAACTTTCAATCCCCGTCCCCAGACTCCAACTTTCAATAATGCTCCACAGTCTGGAGTCTAAACTCTAGAGTCTAAAACTGGTTTCCCCACCCTCCCGGTTGCTTTCTTTTTCATGTTTCTTTTCATGTTATGATTACTGAAACTGAAATTTTTCCAGTTCAAGGTTGGTTCTTTCTTTTTTGCATAAACTTTCACTCTTTTTTTTTTTTATCCAGCAATGCTCTGTGTGGTTAGAAAGGAACGAAGTGGTGGAGTTTTTCCAGTTTTCATCGTCGTGACTGGCAAACGCTTAGAAAATAATGACTGGTTCTGTCTGTCTAATGGACTTGTCTAGTCATTTCTTGTTATGTGCGAAGGTTATTCAATAGACTTAAAAGTACCATAAATGTTATTGCACACTATAGCCAATTTTTAAGTTGTTGGGCCTCGAAAATTGTATGTAATTAGATGGGGAAATCCATTACCTTTCTGTTTCATTTGTAAAAGTTCGTTTTTCGACACCTATTTACTTTAGTTGGACCAGTAAATCCAGGAAAATGTTTGTCTTAGGTAACAAATGTTTGGTATTACTTATTATTTATCAAAAACCATACCTTGAATATTTAATTTTGGAATAAAAGTTGACCCACAAACTGGTATCGATTACTTGAAGTTTTTACTTAACCCATATTTTTATATTTCAATTGCAATTGCCAAGTCTTCGTATTCATATATGTCATAAAGCCGCCAAGTGATTGTTGTGCGTCTGCCCACAGTTTTCGTATTTCCAGTTACATTATTTATTATTAAGTTTTAATTGTTATTTATGGCGATGGGGAAAGCTTTTTTCTTCGTGTGGCCCACCTGCGTTTTTGAGCCTTTTGACTTGACGCAACAAAAAAACACGACGACACTTTGAGTGACTGAAATTGAAATTTTGGTAGTTATGTTGAAAGAGTAATGTTCAAAAAAAGTTGGGGGAGTGTTCAGGCGGGCAAGTTTTATGTTTAAATACATTTTTTATTGGCTTAAGCATGTTTTTGAGCAGTTAAGATACATTTAAATTGGTTAAAAACTATACAGAGGATAATATAATATTTATAATATTTTTCATAAATTTGAATCTACAGAAATTAGAGCATTGTTCGTTCGTTGTAACACCATTAACAACTTCCTCTTATCAAGCGAGCGCGTAAAACAATTTAAAAGAAACAAAATATATCAGATACGAGTAACCAGCTTTTAGGCCTAGCAAACAAAAAAAAAAGAAAAAAAAAAAAGAAACCAGTCTGCGGTTTGTGCCTCTCTCTCTCTTTCTCTCTCTTTCTTTTATTTATCTCAGTCTCTGCTTTGCCAGCCGGCTGGTCTCTCAGTTTTTTTTTTTCCGCTGACGCTGTTTTGCAATTTCATTGCCGGTTGGCCCAAACATGTTTCAATGCCAAACGTAATAACTGTTATGATGTAAGTGGCAACAACAGCAACCACAAGAAGAGCCAGCAGAGGCAGCAATAAAATCACCTGCCACAAGAGCAGAGCAGCCATTAGAAATCGAGACCATCTTACCTGTTCCGGTTTTAATTTTCGCAGTCTGGTTAGATTTTCGTTGGCTAATAAATCAGACTAGATCAAATCTAGGCTCCTCCTAAAATTTATTGTTTATTTATTTATTCTTATTAACGCGCAATTAAAATTGCCGAATCAGAAAATATCGAAAAGATCAGCACTTAACCAATAAATGTTTATAAGACAGACAACAACAAATAAAGGTGATGAAATATAAACGAAAACGTTTTGTATATTTTTTTATTTTCTACACACTTTTTGATTAGTTTTCGTTTGATATTGCATTACAGTGTGGGCTTCAGTTTGCGTTTTTTTCTTCTTTTCGTTGTTGTTGTTTTTGTGTTTTTGGCGGAGGTTTCTTTTTTTTTGTATGGTTTTTTGTTATTGTACGTTTTGTTTGAAATTGAAGTTGCGAAAACATTGAAAAGCGAAAAGCGCTGCTAAAAATAATTCGAGGCAGGCAAAAGTGGACAGCAAAGTGACTCACCTGACTGCCTCACACACACACACATACAGAGAGACTTCTGCTTCTTCTTGACCCAGACTACTGTTAACCCATTACTGTCGGCCCCTCCCCCCTTAGCCCACTTTAGCTTACCGTTTACACTTCTGACCTTTTTGGCTGCCAATGGCTCATTTCTTTCTTTTTTTTGTCTTCTGCCCTCGCTCCCTGGGGCAGCGCACTTTCTTTTGTCTCGGAAAGTGAAAATTTTTCGGGGCAACGAATGAGAAGCGGCGGCGGGGCCAAAAGCGTTATATAAAACCTAATGCGTTGGGCTAGGTCAGACTCATGTCTCTCAGAACTGGGGGCCAATGGAAAGTTGCCAATGAAAACCTGACCTCAGTCAAACTAGACGCTATATAAATGTGAAATGGAAAGAGTGGGAAACGTGAGCTCTATTTTGGGGGTTTATTTAATAATTATAATTTATTTAAAATTATTTTAGATAGCATCAAGACACTCCTTTATTTGCTAAGCAAGCTAAAATTCTATACTGAAATAAAAACACTTTGTGTTTATGCCGAACTGATCTCATGCCAGATGGTTAGTAATCGCAACCAGAAATCTGAAATATACGAAGTTAAGCATGACTAACACAGGTAGTCGAAGTGTTTTCGTCGCTTGTGACGTGAAATGCAAAATGCAAACAAGATTGATTACCCGCAAAGTGGCTGCAAATTAGGAACAAGTCAGCTGAACAAACTGTTAACAATTAAAAACATAAAATCCGAAATGATAATTGGTTTTGTTAATAACTGAAGATAGTTCACTGAAAATTGTTTTCAAATTTATGATGCTTTATTGAACCTCCAATTGTGTATTTAATTGTATCTGTTCGCCATAAAGATGATATAATCTTTACAAATTGGCTTTAAGGCAATTAAATTCAGTGCTGTGAAAAAGTAGTTTTACCCGCTCTTGCTGAGATCACTAAACTTTTGTTCTGCTGGCGAGCTTGTTTCTTTGTAATAACTTGTATTGTTAATAATGCGATGTGAATGACCTGACAATGAAATTATAGCTGGCAAATTATATATAAGCGCACATGCAACTGACGTTAGAAAGAAAAGGCGGCAGGCAATGTAAATACTAAAGAGTCGTAAAAACAGTTGCAGAGTCATCGACTCGAGTGAGTGTTGGGTGCAGTGGGTTAAGAGTAGTGAATGAATGGGAGCTGCCGTGCAAAAATAAACGCATTAATTAATTTATCAGCATGACTAACAGCAGCAGACACACGGTGGCAAACATTTCCAGTTTGATTTTGAGTTTTGCCCGTCGACGATTTTTATTTGCATTTTTAGCGCCGCTCGTAAAAAACGTTAATTTTATGCTGATGCTGTGCTTAATTTATGGACTTTGTTCGCCTGGTTAGCTGACGTCATGAAACAAGTTTGCTGCTTAAGTCTTTTGTTTGGCTCGCTTACTTGCTTTTGATCATTAGCTTCAAAACTGCGAAGCATTGTTAAATTTTTCCTTTCAAAATATTCAATTTTTAGGTGAATTTTTATTTCGTTTTAAAATTGTGGATAATTTTGTTTTATTTTTATTTGCGAAGCATTTTTTGCAATACATGTACTAAAACTTTTAGTTCATATTCTGGGTGGGTGTCCATGATAAGACGTAGGTTTTTGTCGTGAATAAGTGGTTGTGGCAGTGAATGTAAAACTTTTGGTTTTCAAAACTGTCCACTGGCTTCTGTTCACAATGTTATAATATTATGTTAAACATGTGCTGTTAAGATCCTTCATTCCAGTATTTACAAAACTGTAAATTTAGGTCAGACAAAGTATTTCTGGAAATTGTTTGATAAATGTTTCATTTCAGTACTTCACTTAGTACTTGGTTATAATACACAATGATTAAGCTGGTACCTCTCCTATTATTAGAATATACCCTCACTCAATTTCCGTTTTTTGCTTTATCCTTAACAATAAAAGTATAATTCTGTTAACAATATTTTACTTTTTTATATTACAGTCGCACTCCTGGCTCACGTCAACCGTCGCCGGCCGAGGAGTCCTTGCCACGCCCCCCGAATCTACTCTTCCCCCCGTTGCCGCCCCCCTTCAACCACATTCTCATGGACCATGGCCAGGGCATGGGCGGTGGACTGGGCGGGGTCGTCGGATCGGGCAACGGTGTGGGAGGAGGGGGCGGCGGAGGCGGGGCGGGCGGAGCATATGCGGCCCACCAGCAGATGGCCGCCCAGATGAGTCAGTTGCAGCCGCCGATGATGAACGGCGTTGGCGGTGGAATGCCAATGGCAGCTCAGGTAAGACACTTCATTCTTTAAAAGGATATAAAAAACTTTAATTTCAAAAGAAAACCTAGAATTTGTAAGATAATTCCTTTCTCCCTTGTTTTAATATTTAATTTCCCATTTCATTTTGATAGTCTCCGATGTTGAATCACCAGGCAGCTGGACCCAATCACATGGAATCTCCCGGAAATCTCCTGCAACAGCAGAATTTTGATGTTCAGGTGAGTTGAGATGAGTCCTTCAGCGAAGAGTTGTGTTGTTTTCATGGTCCCCAGAGTGACATTTTCATTGTGTGTGGTTTTGCAACCGAAAATTTGGGTCATGTGAGTGGTGGCAGGGGGATTTGGAGGCAAATGGAGGAGGCATGATGCACCGTGTGCTGAAGCCACAGAAGCTGGCTAATTTTGCACATCCGGCGGATGCTGCTGTTGGTTGCGTTGCGTCCCCTGGTTGCCATTTCCGCCAGCCTTGCACAATGCTGAATCCCAATGCACCACTCCCTCTCTCCGATTCTCCATTTAGTTTCGTTTACCACCCACCCACCACCCCCTCTGCGGTGCCAGCACCACCCGCCCGCCCCACTCGTTGCATGCAATTTATTTCGAAACAAAACGGAAATCGGATTTATTAGCCACAAAATTGCTTTTAAGCTGGAGCTCTTGTGTACCAGTAGCTTTCAAACCTCGTCCCTCGGTTAGGCTTGCTGCAAGTCACATTCCTGCGGTTACAGTAAGCTCTCTATGTGAAGAACATTAAATAAATATTAGATTGCATTGATATTTTATTATTAATTTACCTATTATTTATTTTTAGATATTTTAGATCCAAGAAGTTTATCTTAAATTAAAGCTTTACTGTTCATCTTCACCAGTATGCACTGTACCGCAGTCAATGTCATTTCCTTCTGTTAACTTCAGCTTTATATCTAGCAAACAACCAACAGAAACGCAAAGTTTCTCCCTCCGCCTGCCAAATTGAAAATCAATATGCGTTGTTGCAGTTACCGATGCTATATCCCCCTATATCCTCCCCTGATTCTCCCCAGATTCTCCACTCCGCCCCGTTGGCCTTCAGCCGTTGGCCGCAAAGCAAATTGACATTTCCACACTTTAGTCGTCGTTGAGGCTGGGGCAATCTGCACTTCCGCTTTTTATCGCTCGCTCCACACATCCTGCAGGCATTTTTGTGCCGCTTTTGTCTTCTCTTCTCTTCTGGCCAAAAGGATGAAAAGCGTGGAAAGCGGAGAGAGGAGCAGGAAAACTTTATCGTAGCTCTTCGTTCGCCTGTGTGTGTGTATGTGTGTGTGTGTGTATGTGTGTGTGTGTGTTTTAAGTGAGCTGCCTGAAAGTATGCTGCGCAAAATTGCATCAAAGTGAAAAAGCCAACACACTGGCAGAAAATGTTGTTAAAACAACAGTGGCAAGAACAACAGGGGTAAACTATAGCCTGATCGGGTGGAAGTAGCTGGAATGTCATTATAGTTGAAAAATTGAAGCTGCTTGTGGCGGCAAAAGGTGAAAGTTTAATGCGCTTCCTGTGTTTTGCGGAAAGTTTTCCATAAGCAAATTTCTTCAGTCAAATTACCGATATCATTGATAATATTCCCAAAAGGTTTCCTGTGTAATATTTGAAAAATGCTATGATAGTAGGAATGTATTTGAGGTAATTAGCTATAAAAAAAATATTATTCCATATGTACATACAGGAGTAAAAAGTTGACTTTAAGTGCAGTAGAGCAAAAATGAAATTATAAACCCTGCGTTGTGTGAAAAACCATAAAGAATGTTAATATATGTGCAATAATAATGATTATTATTATGTTCTCATATTCTCTCGGCGAGATAAGCAACTCTCAGCACTCAAACCATAAATAAAACCAAGGGAAAGGAAGGGAACGAAGTTGAGGGACAGATATGCATTTATTGGTTTCACGAGAAGAAGGGCTGTGCAATATGTTGCCGATAATGGATAATGGATAATGCAAGGCATGCACTCAAGCTCCACTTTCGGTGGCTTTCGTGCATATTTCTTATTAAATTGGCGTTGATATTAACACCAAATAAAAGCAAGAAAGGAATCTTGACGAATTGCATGCAAAGTAACGAGGAAAACCGAATAAAGGGTTTCTTTTTTTCTGGGTTGCAAGGATGGCATTATGGCACCACATACAATGCCAGCGATTTTTGACAATGCAATATCTATATATAGACGAACGACTTGTCGCCTTTGTTTGCTAAGGGATTTTGAAAGCGAAGTGATATTGCTTTTCTTCTGTGGTTTTTAATATATATTCCTTATATAGTGGTGGGAAATTTCTTGCAATAAATCAATATAAGGGAATTAGTCAATTGATTTTAGATTTCGTTCTTTTACAAAATGTTATTTTGTAGAAAAATATGCATTAGGTCGAAACTAGAACAATGAAACTCCACATTGGGTGTAACCGCCCGTAAAATGTCAGAATGTAGAAGATAAATGGATGGATTGCCATTGAAAAAGCGAAGAAATTCCTGCAGCAGCAGGAACAGTTTGGAGGAAAGTCACCGCAAACCAAAGAAAATGGGGAGAAAAAGGGGAAAATGGCTTTGGCAAATCGTTGAGAATTAATGCAAGCTGTTGCCAAAAAATCATCAATATACATTTGCCAAACTTGCCACATGCGAATAAAGACAAATGGCGGTCATGGAATAAAAAATAAGAAAGAATATTATGTGAAGTTAAAATCATTTTGAAGGAAGTAATTTAACAGCATCAAAAAATATTATCTAATATAATTCAATTCATTTTCTATTTACCAGTTTACATTGGTAAAAATGTAATCACAAATCAAGTGGCCTAAAATGTTTCAATGCGGAAGAAAAGTTTTCCTTTCATTACATCTACTTATATTTTGAATTTTTTTTTTTTTTTGGTTGTGACCAACACTTTTGGCTGCTGTCTGTCTTTTTAACCATGGTTGATTGGCTGCTTTTGTGTGTTAATCAGTCAGCTGGCGAGGCTTTTGTTGTCTACAACGCGGCTTAATCGGATAATTGTTTTTACTCGCTTTCCTCTTTTCAACTTCACTTTGATCTGAAAGTCTGTTTAATTGATTTCCAAAACCCTTGGACTGGCAGCATTATTTCGTTGTTATTTTATTCAACTTACATCGCTTGTCAAATCAGAAAGTTAAGAGCAAGTCTAAAAAGAAATGATTTGAATGCAAAAATGCATTATGCAAATTCCAATAATATTTTTTATTGTCTTTTTAAGTGTTTAATTTATGCATGCAATCGGAAAAATGTAGTTTTTTTTTTAATAGCTGCATAGTTTTAGGAAAGCTGGCAAATGAGATTTAACATATGGCATTTACTCATGGGAATGGAATAGACACTTTGGTTCCGCAAAAATGCCAATTGCATTCTGCGTTCAAATTCAGGGTGCATAATTTATCCTCTTGGAAGTGCGAGTGAAAATTTGCATAAAAATGCATTTAAATCAATGGAAATGCAGCATCTGCTGTGCTCCTTGCATTTACCACCCCGCATTGTCCGCGGCATATATTAATTCAGCAATTAATTAAGCGTTAATTGGGACAAAAAGCATATAGCTCATTATGCATGTGCGTATGGCACTTAGTAAATTAATTTCCAATTGTCCATGGGCAGTGTTTTATTTGAATGTGCAGGCCTGCCCACTTTTTGTTCGGGATAAGTTGGTCGCATTTGAAGTTTAAATGGGATTTGACTAGGTTTTGATGGTTGGCAAACCAATTCAATTAAACACCAATATCCAGAACGTGCATTTTGGTTAGCTGAGCTTAAGTTTTCCAATTAGTTTGGCTCAATTTTCGATTATAGAAATAACACCTTTAATAAATAAGTATAATTATACATTGGTTTATTTCTGCTCGCAGCTGATTATTATCAGGATTAAGATAATTGTTTATGTGAATAGCTAAAGTGGTTTTACGTTTCTATGAGTTCTCTAATTAGTGCTCTAATTCGAAAGTGGTTGGTTCCTCAACTTTAATTTATTGATCAGATTGGCTTTTGGCTTCCTTGAGACAGATTTTCCAGTTGCCAGGGACAACGATACTTTACTGCTGTTATCATCGGGCAAAAGCCATAATCAAGTGGTTGCTCTTTTCGGGTGGGATCCTTTCGAATAGAAGGATGGAAGGAAAAGTGTCATCCAATGTCGTCGCTTGACATTTACCGCCAATAAAGCCCAATTAGCGGTTGCCCCACGCTCCAGATACTCCGTCTTCGTCGACTTCCCTTGGAAGTTTGTGTGGACACGCAAATGCTAATTAGTAAGTGGCAAATAGTTGACATCGTGAAGGGGAAGGGGAAGGGGATCGGAAAAGGAGGAGTGGGGCATTTAAGGGGGTGGAAAAGTGGCTGGGGCGTCGCAAATTCGGTAGCCGAGACATTAATTAAGCGAGTCTCTCATGCATGCTTCACAGCATATGGCCAGATCAGCAGTGTCCTTGCAACTCCCTCTTGTTTAAAGATTTTCTGGAGGAGGAGGTCGCCTTTAAATTATTACACAGATTAAAGCTACTTGGATTATGAAGGAAATAAAATAAAAGCCTTGGAAAGGGTAAATTAAACTCTTAATCTGTTGATCTGTTGACGCCAAGTAACTTTGTGTTCCAATCAATCAAACAGCTTTAACCACCTTTTCAGTTCAGTTTGCCCATTAACACGTCTTAACTTTTAACTCAAACTCCACATGGGGAAAAACTTCAAAGCCTGCGCACAGTGGTCCGGCTTGTATGGGAAGAGCGGCCAAAAATACTTCTAGTTGAGGTAGGGACTTGAAACTTTGCAGAAAATTTTTTTATATTTATCCTAAAATAATATGTAAAAATCAGCCAAATCGGGCAACTATATCATTTAGCTGCCATATGAACAATCGGTCTGATATTCAGTTTTTATATGAAAAATTGAGACTAAACAATTTTTAATTATGGCAGGACCATGTAATAATACTTTATGAACCGATGCAGGAAGGTAGTACCACGGATATTTAATGATAAGTAGTTTTGCTGTTTCTAATGCACACTCTCCGAATTTTGCAGAATTTATATTGTAGCCTGATGAAATCGCTTGCAAAATTGTTGAGCATCTTATTATTAATTTCTCTTCAACACCTGTTATAATAGCAGACATATCAGGATTATTAAAAAATGTCCTGGCAGTATTGCCATCGTTAGAATTTCCGCTTCCGCCTGCCT